TGTCTTTGAACATTCTTGGTTTGGAAGTCATATCTTGGTAATCGATTATCAAAGAGTGATAATCGACTATCCTACATCTCTGAACCTTGAAGTCCCAAAGTTTGTCAAGTCTTATTTTCCTTTCCTAAGTTTGGGTACAAGGCTGAAATTATTCCCTGAATTTCAACAAAGAATAAAGCCTTTTCTTTCATAAAACAAAAGCATAATCACTTTTGATACAAAGGAACAAAAATCACAAACAAAAGTCATTGAATGAATAGTGCTGTTTTGGCATTTTCATCACAAATATCAAAAGCTTGATTTCCCTTTGTTATCTTCATAAAGCCACGAAATTTCTACCTAAAAAGGACAAGGATTATTGGTCTTTTAAATCCAAAGGAGATCAACCATGAAGGACTTTTCACACCAAGATAAAATGGGAGCAAATGGCATGAGAAATAAGGAAACTTCCTCTTACTTTCAGTTTTGTTTTGTTGTATGTATTATTAGCTAAGTGTATTCCTTTTTACTCTATATATATTCCTACCATATGGTCATTGTAAGCACAACCAGATTATTGAATTAAAAGCCTTTTTTTACTCTTTGAGTAATTCTATAAAATAGTGTGATGCTATTTTAACCAAATTTCCTAATGAAATATATCTAAAGTTGGCTACTTTTGAGTGTGTGTTAGGAGTCTAATTTTATACATTAGTAGTGATTATTAATGTGTAAAAGAAGATAAAAGCCCCAAATTAAGATAAGAGTGTGTCATATCTCTTAACACCAACTTGGTTTATCCCTTCACTTTATTTCTGCCCATTTCATTTCTCACAATTTCTTCTTCTAAAACTTATTCTTTTCTCTCATTAAAAACACCAAAAATAACTCTTTCCCACACTCCATATTTCATCCCTTCAATTCCATCATCCATTTCCTTCCGCAAATCTGCCACAAAATAGCTACTCGATAAGACCCCGAGTCTCGGGTACAACATCTGGTATCAGAGCTCCACCAAAATCCCCAACTCTCCCAACATATCGGTGTCTCTAAACATTCTTGGTTTGGAAGTCATATCTTGGTAATCGATTATCAAAGAGTGATAATCGACTATCATACATCTCTGAACCTTGAAGTCCCAAAGTTTGTCAAGTCTTATTTTCCTTTCCTAAGTATGGGTACAAGGCTGAAATTATTCCCTGAATTTCAACAAAGAATAAAGCCTTTTCTTTCATAAAACAAAAGCATAATCACTTTTGATACAAAGGAACAAAAATCACAAACAAAAGTCATTGAATGAATAGTGCTGTTTTGGCATTTTCATCACAAATATCAAAAGCTTGATTTCCCTTTGTTATCTTCATAAAGCCACGAAATTTCTACCTAAAAAGGATAAGGATTATTGGTCTTTTAAATCCAAAGGAGATCAACCATGAAGGACTTTTCACACCAAGATAAAATGGGAGCAAATGGCATGAGAAATAAGGAAACTTCCTCTTACTTTCAGTTTTGTTTTGTTGTATGTATTATTCCTTTTTACTCTATATATATTCCTGTCGTATGGTCATTGTAAGCATAACCAGATTATTGAATTAAAAGCCTTTGTTTTACTCTTTGAGTAATTCTTTAAAATAGTGTGATGCTATTTTAACCAAATTTCCTAATGAAATTGTTAGAATAAGTGCCCTTCACTAGAGGGGGGTGAATAGTAAAGCACGAGAATGTTTATAAATTTTCACGAAATAAAAATCGTAGGGATAAAGTAAAGAACGTAAAAAGTAAAGAGCGTAAAAAAAGCGTAAAGAGAGCACACCAAGATTTATACTGGTTCACCACAACGTGTGGCTAGTCCAGTCTCCCGAGAGACTCTCGAGCTACACTATTTCCGTTAAGCTTACGGGTGCTTAACAAACCGTTACAACCTGAGAACTCGAGTCCCACGAGCCTCAATACACTTGCTCGGAGATATACCGCACTCCAAGACTTCAACTCGAAGGAACATGCCCTTCCTTCGTACAACCAAGGGAAAAAACCTCCCTTAAAGTGTTCACAACACTTAACCACTCAAGAACAAAAACTCTCTTAAAGAGTAGAATATGAGTAAACTAATTTAGATCAAGAACACACTCAATTCCTCAAGAAATGGCTCTAAAAAGCTATGTAAAAAGTTTATGGAATGATGCAATGTAAAGCTATGAAATGTGTGAGGAATGGATGTGAAAAGTAGACCCAAGAGACCCCTTTTTATACCCAAAAACANGTGTTCACAACACTTAACCACTCAAGAACAAAAACTCTCTTAAAGAGTAGAATATGAGTAAACTAATTTAGATCAAGAACACACTCAATTCCTCAAGAAATGGCTCTAAAAAGCTATGTAAAAAGTTTATGGAATGATGCAATGTAAAGCTATGAAATGTGTGAGGAATGGATGTGAAAAGTAGACCCAAGAGACCCCTTTTTATACCCAAAAACAAGGTGCAACGGTTGTGAAAAGATTGGGGTTGATTGGCTTGATTTGTGGAAATCAAATAAAAGTGGATCTACTGAAATCTAGCCCGACAGCGCTGTTCATATAGTGAACATCGCTGTTTTGGCTTTGAATTTCCTTTAAAAGTGGCTAACGGTCATCAAAACATCGATGTCTAGAAGTCTACATCGATGTTCGGGTGTTTAACTTTCAAAAATGGAAAGATTTTGTCTTAAATAGCCCAACGGTCATTTGAGAACATCGTTGTTCAAAAACTTACTGCCCAGGGCTTCTGAAGGCCAACATCGCTGTTGGGATTTCCGACATGCATGTCGCGATGGTTTGCCAGAACCATGGTTTGGCAGCCAACGCCGAAAACCGATGTCAAAAACCAAAGTTCTCCAAAAAGAAAACCAAGTGTTGGAAACTCTTATATAATGTATTTTAGGTAGAAACCAAGTATAAAAACGTAAAAACCACTTCATTAAGGTAAAAAACACGGCTAGACAAGTTTATGCCGTTCTACATGGTTTTCACCAAAAGACCAAAAACGAAAGGTGGTTTTTAACATGTTTTTGTTGGAGAACTATTTATATATGCCCAGAAGTAAAAACCAATCATAAAATCTTAAAAACCACTTGATTGATTTGGGCACCAAAAACCAACGCCGATAACCAGCGCCGAATGCCGATAACCAACACCGAAAAACAGAGGTTATGGTTTTTGAAAACTAATCATTTGGAAAACCTTGAAATGTGTCCAGAAGAATAAACCAAGGATAAAAACCCAAAAACCATTTGGTTAAAATCAATGCCAATAACCAATGCCGAAAACCGAACGCCATAGCCGAACGCCGATAACCGATGGTTATGGTTTTGTTTAAGCAAGAACCATGGGTTTTAGAAACTTAAAAACCATTTATGAAAAAACTAATTTGATGCATGAAAAATATATTTTGTTTTGAGCCATGACGTAGAGAAATTGAATGAGCTTGTTACAATAAAACCTAAGTCTTTAGAATACATCTTCAAAGCACCAATGTCGCCATCTTTAGCAACGTCAATGCCGTTCTTGTGCTTTTTGTTTCTTCAAAGAACTTTTTCTATCTTTTCATTTTGTTCCATGTTCCCGACGGTTTGTCAATATCAAAACCTAAACGGAAACAAACATTGTCATTAGCAAAATGTCAAAGTGAAAATGTTTTCCAACAGAAATATCTCTAAAGTTGGCTACTTTTGAGTGCGTGTTAAGAGTCTAATTTTATACATTAGTAGTGATTATTAATGTGTAAAAGAAGATAAAAGCCACAAGTTAAGATAAGAGTGTGTCATATCTCTTAACACCAACTTGGTTTATCCCTTCACTTTATTTCTGCCCATTTCATATCTCACCATTTCTTCTTCTAAAACTTATTCTTTTCTCTCATTAAAAACACCAAAAAGAACTCTTTCCCATACTCCATATTTCATCCCTTCAATTCCATCATCCATTTCCTTCCGCAAATCCGCCACAAAATAGCTACTCGATAAGACCCCGGGTCTCGGGTACAACAGAGAAGGGAAACGGTTTTAGTGACCGACAGAGAAGTGCAGATTCCCAAACCGACGACCTCCATCCTATCACCTGTGAAAACTATAGCGCAATGCAAATCAATAACTCAAAATCGAAACAGCCCTAACGTAGAGCAAAAACTCTAAATTCATTTACCCTATTGGCATGTGACGGGGCAGGAAGTGGAACCAAGTCAGCAAAAACTATCAATGATAGGTGCCTAGTCATTCTACACATGTAATGGCGGCATAACAAACTATCCAACATAAATTACAAAATGCAAGAATTTTAGACATGTACTAACTAATTGCCATCAGCATGGGGTGGGGGGGGGATAGATATGCAAGTGAAAGTGATCAAACATAGTGTTATTCACACTCTTTAGTACGGAGTAGGTAATAAGAGCTTGTTACCACCAGGACCAGTGGTCCTGCCAGCACCCTTTTTTATCCTTCCATTAAAGGTATCAAGCCCGAATTGCTCCAAAACCTGATTTAGATACTGTTGGAAAGCTCAGAAAACACATTTACGAAGGGATGAAGATGAGGGCTCAATTGAGTCTCCAATATATGGTCATATCTATGAGGCCATATTTATACAATAGAAGAAAATATTGACATCAATGATAGAGGGCACAAAAATTATAACATAGTACAAAGGTTTGGATTCATTTTCCACATGATTGATGAACTCATTTATGTCACCTCCCCCCCCCCTACTCTTCTCCCCTTCTATTCATGTATTCAGTATTCTATACATAAGTGTGTTGCCGCATTCCCTTCCCTTGATTTTCACTTTAACTACTTATTCCTTTTTTCTAGGTTTTTTAATTTTCAAATTGATTCGTGGTACAAATACTTCTATAAGGATATAAAATTCCTTTTGTTGTAGTTGTACATTATAACCACTAAAATTTTATTGGATTGAGCATAATGATATCATCATGTTGAAGACTTTCTCAAAGAATTTATGCTATAAAGGTTAAGCTTCTTGTCCAAATAGGAATTCTTAGAAACCAGAACACCTAAATTGCTTTCTTCAACTAAACGGTCAATGGAACAAAATGGTGAGTAACTATTGATAACGGATTAGTGAAATACTAAAATGCGCTGAATAAAATTGTACCCATAAATAACCATTTTATTGGAATACTTTGGTTAAGAACCGGACTTGAGGATGCTACAAAGGATATTTCTCTGGAATAGAGAATGCAAGCTGAAAAGCTCAACCAGTCAACCTTCAAATGAAATTTCAGATGGACCCTATGTAAAACATTGACGTTATGAACTTCAGTGGTGTCACAAAAAAACAATTATTAGTATCTTTTCATATTTAAAAAGGAGCTTACCATTATAAGAGCAGTCCACTTAAAGATATTGGATTATGTCTGATCTACTGCCTTCTCCTTCTGTACCTCTTTGTACTCTTTGAAAAGCCATTCTCTTGAAGTCTGAATAAAATAACATAAACTTAAACAAAAATTCTCAAATATAGGTGGGCTTTGAAGATCCATATTGAAATTCTATCCTATAAAAAAATAGAAGAATATCAATTGAAAGCTCTATCACTCCGTCCAGCTTCTGATGCAACTACCTGATGATGTATTTTCCAAGTTTCTTTCGTTAGACGAAAGGCCTGAGACCACATAAAGGCTGTAGCAGGCATCAAGGTTTTTTCTTTTTAAATGTTGAAATGTTCTTAAAGCCCAATAAAATTTTAAGTTCATGCTACAAAATAAAATAGGGGAATTAAAGAAATAATAAACTAGCAATGAACATAAGTGCCTAATGTTAGGTCCTTAATATTTATCAAATGGGTTGGCGTTATTTTTGACAACACACAACCACTAGTAGATAGTAGTGTAGTGTCCTTATGGTAGTAGAATTGTGTTGTTAGAATTATTGGTCATCCTGCATGGCAACCTGGACTAGGACGCTACGCTGGAAGTTATCTGCTCAACGAAGGATTCCTGGTCTGTCAAGAAACTGGCTTAATCGAAGACTCCTCTTTGGACTCAACGAAGCAGTATGCGTAAGAGTTCTACAGACTAAAGGTTAGGGTTTCATCCTATGCCAGTCCAGAGATATAAATAGGAGATTAATGCTTGGCAGAAGGGGTGCGAAAAAAGAATATATTCGGCTAAGAAAGAGAGAACATACTGAGAGTTGATCTATCATAGAGAAGAGCGTATCATATACACATACAAGAGATTACAGCAAGAAGATCAGCCATGGATCTTCTCTGAAGGTTTATTCAGCTTGTGCATCGTGTGAGGCTGAGCAAAGGTCAAGAACACATCCTTATTGCAGAGCAACGAGAAGGTGTAATAGGCCAAGTTTGACACAAACAGAGTTTGGTGTCTGATCACGTAAGTAGACAAATCTGTTCAATAGAAGGATCTGTTGAGTTTGATTGTGTAATTCTTATGATGATCTAGTGGAAAGGCTATTACACGGATGTGGGCCTCGCAGACGTAGGAGAGTTGACTCCGAACTGCGTAAACAAATCTTTGTGTCTTTGTTTGCTTTCGTTCTGTTTGGTTTGGTGTTAGAAAAGGTGTTGTAGCATTCTGTGAAACTTAGTTGTTGTGCTACAACACAGTTTCCAACCCCTGTCTGTTGTGTTAAGTGTCTGTGTCTCTGGTTTATATATTGGGCTGTGAGTGTAGAAATTTCATTTGGTATCAAAGCTTGCATAGCTTAATTTACTAGCTATCGATCATATCATGGGAGACATGGAAGAAGGAGCAAATGTTCAGAGACCACCTTTACTGCGTGGACACAACTACAATTTCTGGAAGGGCAGGATGAGGGCTTTTCTCAAATCTCTTGGAGGTGGGGTCTGGAGAAGCGTGGAAACTGGGTGGACTGAACCACGCAAATATTCTGATGATTTGACTACATCAAGAATCAAACCATTCGAAGAATATAGCAGAACTGAGGTAACTGCTGCTGAGTTTAACGATAAAGCCCTAAATGCAATCTTTGGGGCAGTGGATTCTACTCAGTACAAGCTCATCTCAAACTGCGACAATGCCAAGGAAGCTTGGGATATTCTTGAAGTCACACATGAAGGAGATGAGAAAGTGAAGACTGCAAAATATCATATCCTGATGACTCAATATGAAAATATGCCCATGGACGAGAAGGAAAAAATCACTGAATTTCATGGGAGAGTTAGAGATATTGCAAACTAGGCTGCACGACTAAATGAACCCATTCCAGAAAACAAGCTGGTTCTTAAGGTGCTGAGATCACTTCCAAAAGAATATGAGATGGATGTCAAGGCCATTCGGCGTTCCCACAACATCAAAAACATGACTCTTGACGCACTTATGGGAATACTGGAATCAATTGAACTGGACATGGTAGAAGATAATAAACGAAGGAAACCTGATAAGCAGATAGCATTTCCCAGCACTGAGGTGGAAGATGACGGAGAACATGATTGGTCACTTGATGAAGATTTCCAAGAGCAGCTATCACTGTTCACCCGGCAATTCAAGAAGCAGTGGATTCAAAAGAGATCAAATCAAAGACATGAAGGCACCTCTAAGGGACTTCCATCAAAAGATGCTAAGTATAAAGAAACACACAGATAGCCCTAACTATATGAAGAAAAAGGGGCCACAGTGCTTTGAATGTGGCGGATATGGCCACATCCAGTCTGAGTGTGCAAACAATCTAAAAAAAGAAGAGACAAGCTTTCAAGGCAACTTGGAGTGATGATGAAACTGAAGATCAGAGTGATTATGAAGAATCTAACTGTGCATTCATTGCAAGTGTTGATCTAGGTGACGAAGTGAGTCTTGAAGAACAACTCGAGGACCTGCAAGAAAAATGGTCAGAACTCCTGATGGTGAACAAAAGGAATGTCACAGACAAAAACAGACTGATTTCAGAAGTCGATGCTTTGAAGGAGAGAATTGAAGGACTCACCAGGAAAATTGAAGAACTTGAAGGAGAAAAATCCAATCTGCTATTCGAGATAAACCAACTAAAGTCCTATCAAAAATGGATCAAGGTTGCTGGAGCATAGGTGCTAGATCATCACTCGATTATGGCAAAATCTCCTGGAGACATGACATGCATTGGATATACAGACAAAGGAAAGATGTCACAATCCCTTGAAGTCAAGTTTGTCAAAGCTTCTGAAGTAACTACATCCACCAGCCCACATCAGTTCAAAAAGGAGCGTCAAACACTCTCATACAAGAATCCCTATCATCATTACAGATGCTATAACTGCAATAAGTGGGGACACATACAACGTCAGTGTGCCAAAAGATGGAGCAAGCTATGGACCACTAAGCGGTACAAACAAATCTGAATACCAAAACAATTTGACTCTGTGGCCAACACTTGCTACCGGGTCACTCCAGATCAATGGCTCCTAGATAGTGGATGTTCGCATCATATGACCGGTGACAGAGAAAACCTCATTAACATCAAGACGCTTGAACAAGGAAGTGTTCGATTTGGTGGTGGAGCACAAGGAAAAATAGTTGGCAGTGGCATGCTCAATGTATCCGGACTACCACCTATCAAAAATGTATGGTTAGTCCATGGATTACAGGTAAATCTGCTTAGCATAAGCCAAATATGTGATCAAGGGCTGGAAGTATTTTTTACACAGCAAAAGTGCATAGTAAGAGACAGAAGCAAACAAGTGGTGCTTGAAGGTGACAGAACAGCAGATAATTGCTATAAAGTGACTCCAAATGCACTCTGTTTCTCAGCAAGTGAGAAAGATGCAAAGTTATGGCATTATCATCTGGGGCATCTAAACTACAAGGATCTTGTAACTCTATCAAGTTCAGGAGCAGTGAGAGGGTTACCAAAGATCATCAACAAGGAGGCAGAGATATGCGGGCCTTGTCAAAAGGGAAAGCAGATACGCAAAACTCATCCAGTTAAGGTATTTCAATCCACAAAATGTCCTCTGGAGCTGCTGCATATAGATCTTTTTGGACCTATGAAGACAGAAAGTATTGGAGGCAAGAGATTCGTACTCATGGTGGTTGATGATTTCACAAGATATACATGGGTATGCTTTTTAAGACATAAAGATGACGCACTATATGCATTTGCTGCACTCTGCAACAATGTTCAAAATGAGAAACAGTCAAAGATACAAAAAGTCATACGAGTGAGAAGTGATCACGGAGGAGAGTTTGAGAGTAAACCTTTCAGCAAATATTGTGATGAACAAGGAATATCACATGAGTTCTCTGCACCAAAAACCCCACAACAAAATGGAGTAGCCGAGAGAAGGAACAGGCATGTGCAGGAAATGGCAAGAACCATGCTTCACACACAACAATTACCAGAGAATCTTTGGGCCGAAGCCGTGCACACAGCCTGCTACACAATAAACCGTGTGTACATAAGGAGAGGAACACAAGCTACTCCATATGAATTATGGAAAGGGCGAACTCCAAACGTTGGGCACTTTCACATTTTTGGAGCAAAATGCTACATTCTTCGAGATCGAGAGCATAGAAGCAAATTTGATTCAAAAAGTGATGAAGCGATATTCGTGGGATATTCACCAAACAGCAAAGCATTCAGAGTATTCAACAAACGCACCAGGACAATCATGGAATCCATTAATGTCATAGTAGATGACAAAGCATTGTGGAAGGATCGCTGTGACACAAGAGATGATGAACCATCTGCTGAATGGCAAACTGAAGAAGACTTACCAACATCAGATACAGAAGATCAACCAGAAGCAGAACCACAGGTAAGTCAACCAGAAGAAGTCCGAGTGCCCACTCACATTCAAAAGAATCACCCTCTAGAAAATGTGATTGGAGATCCATAGGAAGGAATGCGCACTCGGAAAAAGAAGATCGACTATGTTGAGATGATAAATGCCTTCTACACATCATCAGTAGAACCAAGAAATGTCAAAGAAGCCCTGACAGATGAAGCATGGATAAACGCAATGCAGGAGGAGCTTGCACAGTTTGAGCGAAATCAAGTATGGGAACTGGTGCCAAAACCTGAGGATGTGAACATCATTGGCACGAAGTGGATTTTTCGAAACAAAACTGATGAAGATGGCAACGTGATAAGAAACAAAGCAAGGCTAGTGGCTCAGGGATACACACAGGTTGAAGGATTTGACTTTGAAGAAACCTTTGCGCTTGTGGCAAGACTTGAATCAATTCGAATACTCATCAGTATGGCATGTGTCTGGAACATGAAACTCTATCAAATGGATGTCAAAACAGCCTTTCTGAATGGATATCTTAAAGAAGAGGTTTATGTATCCCAACCCAAAGGATTTGAAGATACATCACATCCAACGCATGTATTCAAACTACGCAAGGCACTCTATGGCCTGAAGCAGGCTCCGCGAGCATGGTATGATAGACTAATAGCATATTTATGCAAACAAGGATACACCAGGGGAGGAGTAGACAACACCATGTTCTATATCAGGTACGGTAAAGACATACTGGTAGCTCAAATCTATGTTGATGACATACTGTTTGGTTCAACCTCAGAAATCTATGTTGGGAAATTCGTTGAAGTCATGGAAAAAGAGTTTGAAATGAGCATGATTGGAGAATTGACTTACTTCCTGGGGCTACAGATCAAACAGAACTGATGATGGAATTTTTATTTCTCAAAATAAATATGCTCTGAATATGCTGAAGAAGTTTGATATGAGTGACTGCAAAAGTGCTAGAACACCATGTCCAACACATGAGAAAATAAGCAGGGATGATAATGGAAAGGACGTCGATGCTACTCACTACAGAGGGATTATTGGAAGTCTGTTGTATCTTACTGCAAGCAGACCTGATATATGCTACAGTGTGGGAGTATGTGCAAGATATCAAGCTAAGCCTAAAGAATCACATATGAAGGCAGTAAAAAGAATACTGAAATATCTTAAGGGCACACATAACATGAGTCTCTGGTATTCTAAAGGTGCTCCAGCACAACTTATGGCATATAGTGATGTAGATTGGGCAGGCAACATTGATGATCGCAAAAGCACTTCAGGAGGATGTTTCTATCTAGCAGGCAATCTAGTAGCATGGCTTAGTAAAAAGCAGAATTCGGTCTCACTATCTACTGCAGAGGCTGAATACATTGCTGCCGGGAGTTGTTGTGCACAACTTTTGTGGATGAAGTCAATGCTAACTGATTATGGAATCCAGCATGATACTATTCCCATTTATTGCGACAACACAAGCGCCATAAATATATCCAAAAATCCAGTAATACACTCACGTACCAAACACATTGATATCAAACATCACTTTATACGTGAGCTAGTAGAAGGAAAAATTGTCGCTCTTGAATATGTTCCTACTGAACATCAGTTAGCTAATATATTAACAAACGCACTTGATGGAGAAAGATTTGAGACACTCAGATCCAATTTGGGTCTGTGCGCACCATTTCAATAAATCATGGAGAATAAAATGAGCACAAATTGTCAGCTAATGTGCTCAATTTTCAAGAAATTCTGCTGAGTTGGAAGAAAAATGATAGCATGCGCCGTTGCACAATAATGAGGCATACGAAGAGTCGCCTACTTTATCTCGCAAATAGAAGAGGCGTGGTGAGAACCTCGGTATCATCATCCGAATAAAGGGTCTCTCAAGAACCCTAACCATCAAAAACCACAAACTTGAGCAAATCTGAGAAAGACGAAGATGGTGAGAATCAAGCATGCACTCCCAAAACGATGGAAGGGAAGATCTTCACTAAAAAGAGAACTCTGGGCAAAACATCGCTGGACGCGTCTACTGGCTGCAAAGGAATCACAACAAACCAATGTTCATCTTGAACCAATATGCATTAACGAAAGGCGGCAGAAGAAGACGAAGAGCATCTCCCACAACCCAATCTGGGAGAATCAAACATGGAGCAACCAGATTCAAGATCAGTAGACGATGAAGTCAGAAATGTCACAGAAGATGATGTGATTCTATACCCTGTAGCCACAATCCCAAAAACGCTCTACTTAGAGTACACAGTCACTCCACAGAAAGAGAACATGCAAAGCAAAAAGAAGGAAGATCTGCTGTCAGAGAAGGAAATACCAGAGATTGTGGATGAAGAACCTTTAATAGCATGCTCAGATGTGCCATTTGAAGGTGTGCAATTCACAACCCCAGCATCCAAGAAACCAATGGCGAAACGCACTGGATCCAGATGGTCGTTGTTTCAAAAGGCGAAAGAAGATCAAGAATCAGAAGGGATTGAAGAAATTCAAACAAGAGAAGTTCCAAAGAAGGGGCTAAAGCGAAAGGAGAAAGCAAGGGATGACCAGGAGGAGAGCTCAAAGAAGCAGAAAACATCATCTCCCTCAGCAAAACTTACAACCAGAAGTCAGAGCAACCAAAGGAAAGATGCAAAAGCTGAAAAATCACCCAAACCAGGGAAGTTTTCTAAACATCTTTTCATTTCATCAATTGCTAGATCAATCATGTCTGAAATTGCCAAGAAAACAATTCTGCCACAAAGAAGCATTGATGTTGAGGATTTTGAAGCGAAAACAAACTTAATCCCTGTGCTGAAAAAATGCAATTTGCTCAAATCAATCACTCTGCCTGGTTCTTATGTGAGAAAAGTCATTCAAGAGTTTTACTGGAGGGTTGCAACATCTACACTGACCCTTCATACCACAAAGTGTTTGTGAGAGGAAAAACTTTTGATCTGTCCCCTACCAAAATCAATCAGTTCCTGAACATAAAACCCCCCTCCTCTGAAATCAATGTGAATGAAAGACAAGTCTTGACTGACCTCACAAATGGTGAGCGTATCTCTCAATCCACCAAGTCAAAAGTGCCCTCCTCCATCCTCAAAAGTTCCTATTCCATTCTGTTTAGAGTTGCCGCATATCACTGGCTCCCTACTACCCATATGAACACGGTTCCACTCTGCATAGCCACACTCATTTACAAAATCAAGCATGAGATACCTGTTAATCTTGGGAAAATCATCTTTGATCAGATCATGAGCTTTGCACCTGAAAGGGCCAAACAGAATTCTAATGGGCTTCCTTATCATCTTCTTATTTTTCAAATGCTTAAATCTCAGAAACTTGTAGTTGCAGATGAAGAAGAACCTGCTCCTCCTTTCATCCAGGTTGATTTAAGGCACTTTGAAGGAAAACACTACAATGACATGGCAACAAGGGAGGAACAGAAGACAGCTCTAGCAGTTCTTCAGTCAGACTTCTCCAAAACAGCTTTCATCAAAGGAGAAATTCAGCTGCTGCAAGAGAAAATTGAAGAATACAAGAAGCTGATCAAAGAAGCTGAAATCAAAAAGAAAAAATGGGCCATTATCCTGTCATCTCTGGACACCACTCCAGATGAAGCTGATAAATCTCAGGGGGAGAAGACCAAGCAAGATGGACCAGATGATGCTGCAACATAGGGGGAGCAAAGTGAAGATGATGAAGCCACTGAGGAAGGAGAGGAAAGCTCAGATGCAGAGGATGATAACCTAGCAAATGAAGAGTCAGATTTTGAGGCTGAACTCCACAACTTTGATGATTAAACTCTTCAATGTTTTTTTTGAAAAAACACTACTGTCTTTGGCTACTCAATATTTTGATGGGATTGCTCTGTCCCTAATGTTTACGCATGGATTCATCTACTCATATTTTTGCTGCTACTACGGTGTATTTGATGTGGGTCTATTATGCTGAGGATTGCTTGTTTATGAAGACTGATTCTGAATGATTAATCTACACATGGTCTCCTGGTTTTCACTCAGGTCTTTGCACAGGTAGGATGACCATTTTTTAAGGTGTCTAAGTTGTTCTAATGTACACACTCTTGCATCCAGTTGTCTAAATATTACTCTTCTCCAGTTTCTTGAATAATACACACTTCTGCCTTTGGCATATTTTTTCCAAAAGGGGGAGAAGAGGTTTAGAACTGGCTGAGTGTCAAAGTGATTGTGTTTGTCAAAAATAGCCAAAGGGGGAGATTGTTAGGTCCTTAATATTTATCATATGGGTTGGCGTTATTTTTGACAACACACAACCACTAGTAGATAGTAGTGTAGTGTCCTTATGGTAGTAGAATTGTGTTGTTAGAATTATTGGTCATCCTGCATGGCAACCTGGACTAGGACGCTACGCTGGAAGTTATCTGCTCAACGAAGGATTCCTGGTCTGTCAAGAAACTGGCTTAATCGAAGACTCTTCTCTGGACTCAACGAAGCAGTATGCGTAAGAGTTCTACAGACTAAAGGTTAGGGTTTCATCCTATGCCAGTCCAGAGATATAAATAGGAGATTAATGCTTGGCAGAAGGGGTGCGAAAAAAGAATATATTCGGCTAAGAAAGAGAGAACATACTGAGAGTTGATCTATCATAGAGAAGAGAGTATCATATACACATATGAGAGATTACAACAAGAAGATCAGCCATGGATCTTCTCTGAAGGTTTGTTCAGCTTGTGCATCGTGTGAGGCTGAGCAAAGGTCAAGAACACATCCTTATTGCAGAGCAACGAGAAGGTGTAATAGGCCTAGTTTGACACAAACAGAGTTTGGTGTCTGATCACGTAAGTAGACAAATCTGTTCAATAGAAGGATCTGTTGAGTTTGATTGTGTAATTCTTATGATGATCTAGTGGAAAGGCTATTACACGGATGTGGGCCTCGCAGACGTAGGAGAGTTGACTCCAAACTGCGTAAACAAATCTTTGTGTCTTTGTTTGCTTTTGTTCTGTTTGGTTTGGTGTTAAAAAAGGTGTTGTAGCATTCTGTGAAACTTAGTTGTTGTGCTACAACACAGTTTCCAACCCCTGTCTGTTGTGTTAAGTGTCTGTGTCTCTGGTTTATATATTGGGCTGTGAGTGTAGAAATTTCACCTAAGTCATATGTATAATTGAACAAAAAATTTGCATTCAATGGACTGGAAACTTACATTCACATTACGATTTAATACACACATTTTCATCGACGTGTAGTCAGACAGATCTTGAACCATAGCATGGATTAATATACTCTTTTTACCTTTTTGTTTTGAAGATCTTTCAAGTGAGCATGAAATTGTTATAAGTTTCATTCGCTATCAGATGGTCCACCTCGTCATTATTCCATGAGATCTCATTGCTTTTCTTCTCTATTTATGATTGTATTTCAGAGAACTCCTTTATTTTCTCCACCTTGGCGCAAAGATTTTCTAAGACATTTGTTACGGCAGAAAATTGTTTCAAATGTCTTGTGAAGCTGCAAATATTAAAGACAAAACAAAAAAAGGAGGGAGTGTTATAAATTTGCAATGCTTGAGTTATAACCCTCAGTGTGACCGTAAAAAAAAATTAATCCTCAGTGTGCAGGTCGAATTCCAGCTGGACAGAAAATAACCCTCAGTGTGCAAGACAAAAAAACCCTCACTTTAACCCTGTGCTTCAAACGGGCTTGGGTGGGATGCTCTTGTGTGGAAATTGTGTTGTAATTTTTGTGTGTTAGAGATATCTAATAGATGATCCACATCTTCGTGTGTTTTCTCCTAATATTTCTTATGCGGGCTGAAATATATAGTACAAAATTTTGATAGGTCATGTATAAAGAAAACATAAATGAGGACATAGCTTAGCATCATAGAATTCTTGTTATGTGTATAAACTATTTAAAATAATGAAAAGACATTAGCAGCCCATACCTTAGAGGCCTACTATCTCTAAGCATTGCAACTTTCAAAAATTAGGCCAACAGTGTTGAGTGCTCTAAATCTAAATAGAGATTTTTAATGTATAATTTGGTGCATTATTTCTTGGGAAACTTCATACCAATGTAAGCTCATAGTAACTCCACAGTCCATGATTTTCCTTGCATCAACTCTCATCATTCTTCTTGTATGATCACTACGCCAAAAACAGTATCAGACGACTCTTGATTAACTACTGTTTATGGAAACGCAGTAGTTTAAAAAAACAGACTACTGTGAGTTTTTCTTGGCTACAGAATAGTAGTCTAGCCAGTGGCGGAGGCAGGGAAGAGTTTATGGGGGGGCACAAATTTATCTAAAAAACAACAAAAAAAAATTCATAATAGTAAACATACCTTTTATTTGCACAAAGGAGTAAGAGTTGTTTTAGGCCGTAGAAAATTCTTCCGAGATGCCAACTTTTGAAAGCGCTGCATAATAACTTCATCATCGATGCCCATAAAAATTTCTTTCTCAAAGTAGCACAATAGACAATCCGATAACATCTCATCTCCCAAACGATTGCGTAAATCAGTCTTGACAATATTCATCGCAGAAAAACTTCTTTCAACTGAAGTTGTCCCAACAGGTAATATCAATGCCAATTCTATAAGCCGACATACCAAAGGAAAATAAGTGTGATAATTCATATCCACCATCTTCTTTGCAAGACTTCCAAGATTGGGGATATTAGCAAAAACTTCATTCGATCTCATGTCAGAAATATAATTTTGAAGTTCATGAATAAGCTCAACTCGATCACTAGAACTGAAATCTTCTGAATATAATACAGCAAGTTCCAATAGTCGATCTTGATCAAAACTTGCAAAGCAATTAGAAGGATCAAGACACATTACACACTTTAATAAATTTGTGTTTGTCTGTGTGAAGTGTCTATCCATTTCCGTTGCAAGAATATCAATGACCTAACATCAAATAAATAATAATGATAATAACAACTTAACTTCATTCGTTATGATATCAAAATACTTCCAAAAAGTCATATTAAAATTAAAAACTAATAAGAGTAATATACTTTTGCAAAGATCTCTCCACAAAAATGTACATAGTTTGTCATGGGTTCACCACCTCTCATCTTCTTTCTTGATCGCCCACGAAGATAATCTTCCATGTTAGGCACATCAATTGCATGTTCTTCACAAAATTCACTAACTTCTTTCAAAAAGTCATCCCAACCATGATCTCTAAAATCTTGCAAGTTCTTTTTTACTACACCAATCATATTCAAAGCACAACCAATGTTTTGATCTCGTGCTTGTAACATCTTTGATAAGGTGTTAGTCATACCTAGAACTTTTAACATAAACTTTCCGATAAAAACAAATTCAAAAGAATCCATTTTATCAAGAATGCCACTAGCACTGTTTTTAATTTTGGATGTTTCACCATGATTGTGTAACAAATTCAGCACTGTACCAATAGCATTCCACATATCAAAAAGACGAACAAGAGTTTTGTAGTGAGAGCCCCAACGTGTATCACCTGGTCGAGCTAAAGATGTTGCTTGGTTTTGCCCCCTACCAGTTGACAATTCACCTATTTCTATGCGATGCAAAGTTTCCTCCTCGTGTACTTGAAGGAGATAATCTTTCCGTTTGCATGAAGACCCAACTGTATTAACAATCATCAAAAGCTTTTCAAAGAAATCAAATATGCTCTCCCTATCTTGTGCAGCCGCAACAATAACTAACTGAAGTTGGTGGGCAAAACAATGAATATAGTATGCATTCTTGTTTTCATTAAGAATAAGTGTTTTCAACCCATTAAACTGACCGCGCATATTTGAAGCTCCATCATAACCTTGACCTCTTAGTCTTGAAAGGGACAATCCATGGTTTGCAAAAAATTCATCAATTGACTTTTTAAGAAACTTTGCAGAAGTCTCCTCAACATGAACTAATCCAAGAAAACGTTCAATGATCTCCCCTTTATCATTCACAAATCTCAAAATTATTGACATTTGCTCTTTCACAGAGCAATCTCTAGCTTCATCAATCAAAAGAGCAAAATTCTTTTTTCCTATCTCATTCAATATGACATTTCTTGTTTCCATTGCACAACTTTCAATAATATCTCTTTGAATGGTAGGAGAGGTCATTTGATTATTTTTAGGAGCATTTATTTGCATCACTTTCTCGGCAGCTGCATTAGTCTTACAAAACCAAGATATGAGTTCGAGAAAGTTACCTCGATGGATTGAGTCAGGAGATTCATCATGCCCTCTAAATGCTAAACCTTCCCCTAGAAGGTATCGAGCCACTTTTACAACTGTAGCTAACCGAGTACGATAATCATCTTCAATCACAATAGTGTTAGTCGATAAAACATAATCGATGTTCTCTCTTTGATTAAGATATTGTTGAACTTTAATTCTACAATAAGCATGGGAACTTTCATTGGTTCCTTCATGGTCAACAAATGCTTTTGGACCATCTTTCCAATTGCTAAACCCAACTTGAGTAAAAGCATTTGATCCATTTTTATTTGTATTTGCAAACAAATAACAATGCAAACAATATGCTTTATCCTTGGCGACACTATACTCTAACCACTTAAACTTATCAAACCAAACACTTTGAAACCGCCTTTTTTTTGCCCGTTCAAGTTTGTGGAAAGTTATGCACCAATGGTTGGCAAGGACCTTTTGCTAAGTATCTTCTTCTTATGACATCTCTAATTTCCAAGGGATAACTATTGATTGGTTTTCTTAATCCCGGATCAGCAATAATATCATCATTTGAAATCACACTTTCTTTATCTAGAGAAGAAGATGCTTCTTTTTTCTTGCCTTTATCATTTACAAATGCCAAATTCTTCTTTTCTCTAATTACAAATTTATCCATCCCAGATCTCAAGATTACCTAATTAAATAAAAAAAATAAAAAAATTAATTTACATTAAAGTTTAAGAAATATTTAAATATCACTAAAACAAATTGGGAATCTGCCTGAACAAGGGAACAAATTAAAGTTCTCAAAAAATAAATTAACGATTTTCAAAAATTTAAAAATTAACAAACAAATCTCTAAATTGAATAATTGGAAATTGAATATACCTGAATAATGAGAACCTCTTTACCTGTGAAGAACAAGAATTGAAGAAGTAATCCAGAAGTGAAGGAGAGAAACTGTGAAGATAAAGATCAGAAGAAGAAGAAAAGTCCCAGGTTCGCCGTTAGCTTTTTTTTGCTGCAGAGGATGGGGAATTGGGAAAGATGAGATAATTTTTAGAAATTAAGTTTAATTTTTTAAAGAGTAGATACGGAAAAAAAAGGAATTGGGTCCAAGTATTGTTTGGTCAAAGTACTAAACATAAAAATTGGTACTAAACATAAAAATTGGTCAAAGGCTTCAATATTTTTTTTCCGGAAATCACTTCTTGGTCTTCTTCTTCGCTGAACAGATCTGCAAACAGAGCACCGCTACTTGCCGGAAAAATTGGGGGCACATCAAGCCTCCCATCGGAGAAGGGGTACCCTAATAGTACTTCGCCGGAAAATCGCCGGGGGCACTTGCCCAGGCGCCCCCCCCCCTCTCCTCTGCCCCTGAGTCTAGCTACTATGCTTTAAAACTGTTTTTAAAGTTTTGAGAAACAGTAATCTATCACTAGTTGTATGTGTTAGTTCAAAATACAGTTTTTGTTACAACAGTTGTTAATAATACGTTAAGAATACTCTTTTTAAACAGTAGTCTGGTGTTTAAGTCTAGAACTGTTTTTAAACTTATTAGAAAACAGTTATCTATTGTTAGTTGTCTGTTTCATATGGTTTTTTTGCAACTGTCGTTTCTAATGGGAATAGAAAACTCTATTGTAACAGTAGTCTATAAATTAAGGGTACAACTGTTTTTAAAGTTGTGAGAAACGGTAATCTTTTATTAGTAGTATGTTTCACCTAAAAATACAGTTTTTGTTGCCACAGTTGTCCATAATTAGTTAAGACTACTATTTCTAAACAGCAGTCTGGTGTTTCAGTTTATAACTGTTTTTAAACTTATAAGAAATAGTATTCTATTGTTACTTGTATGTTTCATAAGGTTTTATTTTGCATAGTTGTTTGTTATAAGAATAGAAGACTCCCTTGTAACAGTAATATATTTATATAGCATAGAACTATTTTTAAAATTCATAGAAACTGTAATCTATTACAAGTTGTTAATATTAAATTAAGAATACCTTTTTTAAACAGTAGTTAGACTATTAATCCTAGAACTATTTTCAAAGTTTTGAGAAACCATAATATATTACTAGTAGTGTGTGTCACACGTTTTTTTTCACGGTTATCTATAATAACTAAAAAACTGTTCTTAAGAGAATTGTTCGTATTAAACCTAGAACTATTTTAAAAATTAAGAATAATCGTTTTAAAAAGTAGTCTAGCTCTTAAGCCTAGAACTATTTTAAAGGGAATTGAAAACTCATACAAACAATCAATCCCACTTCATAAAACCAAAAAACAATAAGAAGAAGGCGAGATGCAAATAAGAGTGCACAAAATTTAATAAAACCAAAATTAAGAGTACATTGGCTTGCTTCAATCCAAAATAGAAAACAAAAAAAAACCACAAAGAATGAAAATCCATATTCTAAAATTGTAACGCCCTGAATACCGGTCTAGCCGTTTAGATAAAAAAAATATAAACAATCGAACTCAATCAGATAAGAAGTTTAAAGTATTGAACTAAAAAAATATTATATCAAGTAGTTAAGTTTGACACTCTAATCCCAAAAATATCATTAATGTTTTTTTTTTAAATGTTGAAACAAAATGAAATTAATTTAAAACATTAGCTTTTCCTTAAATCCAAAGGTCAAAGATATGTATTGTCATTAACTCAATTAGCCTCCAAAGGCCAATTACCATCATTGCATATGCTATGCCACCACTATAAATATCATCAAACAATACGGAGTGCAAGGAAGAAAATAGTAGATTATTAACTACCACGTAAAAAGACCAAATATTGAAGGTAAAAGTGCCAATTACACAAAGATTGGTTTTTAGCCATGGTTTTACTCTCCCCAATGACTTAAGCTTAACCCTTTGCCTTTGTGGAAGAGGGAACAACATCATTACCCCTCTTAGTCTTTCGCACTACTGGTTTTGGCATAGCAGCATCACCATTACCATCCACAATAGATTCATCTCTTCATACATTTTTTGTACATGGATCTTTGATCTGCCATTGAAAACAACCAAGGTAATAAAGTAAATAAAACACAAAATGTAAATTTTTTATATGTAGAAATCTTAAAAATGTTAAGGCTAAGGAATGAGGGGCTATAAATTGGTGTGTTTATATATGGAAATTACATATAAGGAGTCAAAATTTGAAGAGCCAAATTTGAAGAGCCAAAATTTAAAATGAGGGGCTGCGCTTCAATAGCCAAATTTGAATTTCCAATTTATAAAGAGTATGCAGAGTATCCCTAACACCAAGCCAAGCACATATATCCAAAGCACATATATCCAAAGTATAAGAGGTAATCAAATTGAAAGATATGAAATTGAACAAAAAAAAGAATGCAATAACAACCTCATGATGCACAAAAAACATAATGGGCAGTAACAACCTCTGAAACAAGACCTTGCACTAGAGGGGGTCTTGTTCTTTGAGTTGACATCTTGGACTTCTTTTCTAAAGATGCTTCCTCAATCTGTTGGGTGCAGGGCTAAAAAAAGAGGGACAAAACAAGCAGTAATATATATAGATGTTAAGGTTATCCGCTGGCATGCCAAAGGGCCAAGGCCCGAGTGCTGAGCCTTCATTCATTGATGCCCTCGTGTAACATGTAAATTATTATTACCGAAATCAAACAAAAACTTCAATGTCAAATGCTTAACCATAATTATGGTTACGTGCGTAGTAGACGGTTTCAATCCTAGACTACTTCAAATAATTACATCAATAAATAATTACAACTCAAAAATAGTAACACATAAGTTAGAAACAAATTAAAGTTCAAGACAACAACCCACAAGAATAGTAGGCTAGTGATGTAGTGATCCAAAAAGGTGGCGAGACAAACACCAAGTAGCATGAAGGAGACACCAAATTCAGCCATAAATTAAACCATAGAATGCAGTAACAACCTCATGATGCACAAAATCCATTCCAGTGTATTTCCCAACAAATTCGCAAAACCAACTCAAAAAAATCCATGACTAAGACCAAGCCCAAGCAATACTAGTCAAGTACATTCCATACAAAAGAAAGAAGATACATTCAACAAAACATTTGGGTCTTATTCAAGCATCTTGGAAAAGTTGACAGCAAAAAATTATAAAGAATAAGTACAGCAAAAATTTTATCAGCAGAAATGATAAAATTTTATTCAAATTGAAGAACATCACACCTTGATTCCAAATCTACGAAACAAATACTTATGGATTGATTCCAAACAAATCTAAGAAACATATAATAAGAACAACACACCTCGATTCCGAACCAACGCCGAGTCAGATGCCCAAATATTTTGTCGATACAAATACTTATGGATTAGCAATTTGATACAGAACAAACAGTTTAACAAAAAATATATGTGTACAGTGAGCGGGGGGGGGGAATGGAAATTCAGCAAGGCTAGAGTCATCTAAAAAATATGGTGTGGCTAAAATTAATTGAATGAGATAGGGTTGAAAAGAGGGGGATGCCAAATGCTTTTTGGGAAATTCCAGCGCCCAAATTTTGGGAAAGAGGGATCCGAATATTTTTGGGGGATTCAAAAATTTTGCCTTACTTTACAGTTTACACACTTCTTAAATTTGTACTCCTTTCAATTTATATTATCTGTTTCGATTTACAATATTTGATAAATTTTATTTTTAAATCATTTTACATGAAAAATGATGTAATAATAAAAAATAATGGGATAATAGGATGGGTGCTCCCGTGGTTTCAAAAGAAGCACCAAAACCCCTTCTACTTTCAAAAGTAATTTGTAAAACCCCTGTGGTTTTTAAATAGTGCAAAGGCGCCCCCTCTTGCCTATTTTTAGACATAAAATGACATTTTTGCTCTTTATTTTTCTCTATCTTCAAATTTCACTTTTTTATTTGCATTTTTGTTATACAAATAATAAAATAATATGCGCCCTCTTTCTCAAATTAAAATTTTTCATTTATTTAATTTTCAAAAAAAATAAGTTTTTTTTAGAAAATGTTACAAAAGAAAATGAAAAATTTAAAAATGAAGTAAACTACACTTTTTCATTAAACGTAAAAGTAAAATAAATAAAGTAAAAAATTAGAGAACATATACTCACTCTATCTCTAATTAAAGATTTTAACTTATTTATTTTTTAAAAGTAAAATAGTTTTTTAAGGACTTTAAAAATGAAGAACAAAAAAAGAAAAAAAAATAGAGTTAAAGAAAAGACCGATTTTTATATTTTTCTTTCTTTTCATTACCTTTTTCAATTACTATTTTTACTTTGTACATAATATTTATTTTTCATTTTCTTTTGTAATATTCTCCAAAATAAGTAAGGGGGGCATGTGTGCTCTATTTAGAAATCATAGGGACTTTACAAGTAACTTTTGAAAACATAGGGATTTTTGACGCTCTTTATGTAAACCACGGGGGGCAAGCATGCTATAGCCTATAAAATTACTAAGGATAAACTTTTTTACCAAATGTTTGTTTTTCTTTGTATTTTTTTAAAGTTTTTCCATATTATCTACGTTCTACTCTCTTCATCTCATTTGAATCTCTTTATTGCAGGTATTGATAATGTAAATTACCTGACCGGGTAAACATTACTAGACCGGGTTTCGAATTGTTTACTAGATTCGGGAAAGTAAAAGGTAAAACACACAAAATAACCAGAATGACTAGATGTGGAAACACGGGTAGCCCAATTAATATTCAAATATAGTAGAGTGCACGAGAGCTTTTACACGTCGCACATCCACGTCAGGGCACGTTCCTGGAAGGTGCGAGGCGACTGTCTATGTCCTCTAGTGGCCTTGTCACCTAGTGAGAAAGGTGACTGTCAATTAAGTTGTTTTTTTAAGATTTGATCTGATCTTAATATATTTGAATTGATTTGATTTGATTAGATCTGTTTTGGTCTGATTCAATCTAATTAGATCCGATATGATTTTTTTAAATATTTGATCTGATCTTACTAGATTTGAATTTGATTTGATTGGATATTTTTGAAGATTTGATCTGATCTTATTGGATTTGACTTTGATTTATTCCAATTAGATCTGTTTTTGTCTGATTTGATCTAATTAGTCCGATTAGTTGTGTATAAAACTCTTTTAATTCGATTTAGTCTAATCTAATATGATGAGATCTGATTTCATTCGATATCATCTAAGGAACATATAAACATGTTAAATTGAGATGTAGTAGCTCACATGAAATATGCAAGCAATAAGATCTGATTGAATTTGATTTGATCATAAAGTATCTTATTTGATTATATATAATCTGCTAGATCTAATTCTAGTTATATTTAAAAACTCTTTCTAGTTAGATCTAATATTGATTGATTTAATTTTTTTAAAAATTAATTAATGTTAAATGTTTTGAATAATTTGTTTGAAATGAAATCTAATAATTTAATCTAAAATTGAGTCAGGGGGTCAAGGGGTGACGCTATGACGTCTTAGAATGCTGTAACGCCCTGGAACCCGGTTGAACTTATAAATGCTTATTGATTGATTATGAAAGTTATACCGTTGGGTAAGGATCGACGAATTGAATCTAACAACGCAAACGGATTTCAATTCGGAGCAAGTTCACCCGAAAAGTGTGTTTTACTCAGAAGCGTTATTTTAAATTACAGAGTACAAAACCGTAAGATATGCTCCCTCCGTCCCAAAAAGATTTACACGTTTCAAAAAAATTGTGTCCCATAATCTCCTACCCATTTCTATTAAAAAACCACTTTTACCCCTTACTTTTTGAAACCCTACCTATCACATCATACATTTTTCCTAATAATCTACACATCACATCCTACTTTTACTCATCAAGGGTATTTTTGGAAAGTCAACCCAACCCAAAATTATCCCTTGCTTCGATCCAAATCGCCGTCGTCCTGGCTCCTCTTTCTCCAGACATGGGTTACTACGGCAAGGTGGAAGAGTCCGACCGGCGACGATCTACAGAGGCGACGACGGGGAGCGATCTGGGAACCTCGAACCAGCGAGCTCCGACCGTCCGACGATGTCTGGCCAAAATCCGAGCGACAGCGCTCTATCCAACGGCGAGTTCCGGCAGCGACGCCGGTGACCGACCACAGTGGACCAGCGACGATTTCTGCCGGAATCCCCCTGTCCAGCGACCTCTGTTCCGGCGAAGTCCACCAGCTCCGGCAGAGTAACAGCCAGCAACGATATGACAGATCCGGGCGGGCTTGGGCAGTGACGGGCTTGCTTGGGCAACGATACCGGACTGTGCGTGACGCCGTCTACCCTCTCCGTTTGGGAGTTTCTCTCTACAGGAACTGCAGTGCTGGCCAGTGTTCACGTAACACGGTTCACAGAGTATCCTAAACTACTGCTTCCTCCGTGATTTTGTTGTGTTTTTTGTGCAAAATTTGGATCTCCAGGATCGACTTCAATAGAGGATTCCATTTTTGAGTTTATCTTTTCTGATTTGGGAATGGATTTTGCTGAAATTGGTATGTCTTCTTCATCTTCTTCTTCATTTAATATTGATTATTTAAATTGTATCCTATGGCTGCAAAACAGTGACTGCCCTGCCAAGATATAGATTTAGTTCTCTAAATGCCTCAAGATTTGGTAGCCTGATATCATCACAACCTCTATACACATAGAATGTCTATATTTGTGTGTATATAATCTCAGATAAAAGGGTGCACTCCACTTAGTCAGATTTAATGTTAATAAAATGCTAATTTGTTCTTTTTTGTATGCACTTGTTTCTTCTTTTCTTGATAAATTATTATTTTAAACTGCTTGAATAATTTCAACATAAAGGTAGCACATGGTGTCATGTTGAGAACATGCAAAGAGACTAAAGAGGGTAAAATCCTTGAAATTCATGTTGTAAAAAAGGATAGCTTAATGCATAAAACATCCTGCCAGGTGAGGGTTTCATGCAATTGCACATACATACACAAGAGAAAATAATCTATGTTTTTTATTAGGTTTTAAGAACTTTACTATCTAGCATAGTGGAAATGCTTTTGTTTGTTTGGCTAATTGAGCAAATCATTGCAGGGTACAAACTTAAAAAAAAAGAGACTTGTGGTGAACAAGATTGTTAGAGGATGACACCTTTTCTGGTCACTTGAGAAGCTTCTTTAGTACGGTGTGGGATTCATTTATGTATCTATTTGGTCAGTCATATGTGTCCTCTGTCGGTGCTATGTCATTGTTAGTTGCAAAGTATGTTTTGTGCCATCAAAGGTATCTCGTAAAAAGCGAGTGATTATTGGGATTCTTCATGTCTCTGCCCAGCATTGATCCTCACAATCTTGTTGGAACTTGGTGTTGAGACATGTATTAGGCATAATCTACTCGGCACATTAGGTTAGTGAGATTTTGACTGCATTCTTTTGTTTATTTTCATATTTCATTGACAGTTAGAAAGAACATAGGACTAATGTACATAGGAATGTTATGTTGTTTGGTGCATGGGTTATCATACCCTATATGAATGGTACCGATCAGCCGAGAGTGAGCATTTCCCAGATCCTACTGGTCTTAAAGAACGTTTAGAGCGATGGACATTTGGCCTTTATCCAGCCTGCATCAAGTATCTCATGTCTGCATTTGATGTGCCTGAGGCAAGAACAAATGTTAACTACTATTGCAATTAATGCTAATCAATTACTAGTTATTTTATTTTTTATGGGTTGTGTGGGCCAGGTAATAGCGGTGACGAGGAACAACATATGCAAGAATGGGATGGAATCACTGTCGCGTGGGATTGCTGCAATATATTATGCGTTTGTGTGTGAAAGAGGTGTTTGAAGTACAACTAAGTTTAGTTATCACATTCATGCAATTTAATTTTTTTAATACTAGGTTCATTGCAACCAATTACTAGGTCGATCCAGAAGAGCGAGACTTTCATGAAGTTGATAAAGGTTATTGATATGAATCAGTTACTACATTGGGGATGACATGTATGAGACAATGATTGAATTTGCAAGGCATTTCATGAAGTATCATGCAACTTGAACAATTCAAGTATTTTTTTTTTTGAAAGTACAATTCAAGTATGATATGGGAACAAATGACTAATTTAGTTGGCTCAATGGACAATTATGATGTCCTTTTATTTATGTAAATATTAATTATTTGATAATATTAATATTTTGAATGTATGTTTTTAGATATTACTCGATGTATTGTAATTTTTGGAATTTATTTTTGTTTTAGGATTAATATTTTATAATTGAAACAAATTTTGATTATTAAAAATGAGACAATACAAAATAATCATAGTTGGATAAACAATTAGACCACTATTCAACTTGATAGTTTGAATCGTATACAGTTAACTACACAAACCTGTAGTTTTAATAATTGTTAGACATCTAGAACACACAATTGTTTGAAATGAAACAAAATAGTCTTATACGTTCTACATATACCATAAAAAATAATAGTTGTTTGCATATTATTTAAACAAAACCATAGTGTAAATAATCCTTATACAACAAAAACAAACAGTTGTTTAAAATAAGACCAAAGTAGTAGTCTTAATTTGTACATACAACACAAAATAACAGTTGTTTGATAAAAATATTTGTAGTGGTCTTCCAAGCAGCTGTCTGATAATCAATTACACTACTATTCAAAAATATAGTTTGAATATTTTAAGGACAACTGCAACAAAGTGTAGTGTTATTGCACACTATACAATTGAAAGAAACGGTTGTTTAACATACAACAGAATTAGTAGTCTATGTTTTAGAAATATAACACTAGATAACAGCTGTCTGATATTATTTTTGTTTAGTAGTCTTCCGAGTAGCAGTCTGATATATATTTCAACTACTTTAGAAATTAGATATCTATATTTTTGATCGACAACACCAAACAATAGGAGTCTGAAGTCGAAAACAACAGTAGTATATATTATAGATAGACAACAAAAAATCACAATTCTCTTTAACTCTAGAAAACAGATGTCTTACTCATACGAGGACAACTTCAAAAACATGTACTCTGAAAGATCACAAAATAGGTGTCATCAACCGCACTACACAATTGTTTTTAAACAGTAGTCTGTAAATATATCAGACAGCTGCTCGGAAGACTACTAAAACCAACACAGTTACACAGCTAAAAGAAACAGTTGTCAGCATCTGTTTTTGACGTAGTGGATATAATGAGTTCAAAATGTCCAATCTACAAAGTTGCAGAATGATGGTCACGAATACAAATGTATATTATTAGGGATTAAAATAGTGGCAATGTAAAACACCAACATTATAGCAGTAAATCTAAAGAGGGAGAAAAATCTCATAAAGAAAGTAAAGAAAGCTAGGGTATGTTTCAGTTTTGTCCCCGTTGAAGAAAGGGTGTGTAGCTTCTGTTATGAAACAAATAAAACTAATGATAAAGATATACATTGTTAACTTACACACTTAAGGGTGAAATTGGAATTGATGCAAGTGACTTAGCAGTCATTAATTGACTCATTAAGAAAAAGGTAGTGGACTATCTTCAGAAGTAATTCAAGCAAGTCATCCATTTGACAACGTCCCTACAAATACCAGTGCAATTAGTGACATGGTGAATATGTCCAGAAACTACAATTGAAAGACCATACAGAACTTTAGCATGGGGTGTAGCAAATTAATATGCTTAAATGACTAATAGAGAGATTAATTTACGTGCAAAAAATATGTTATAAAGTATGGTCAAAATGTAATAAGAGACATTTACCACTTCATCAATATCAATGCCTCATTGAATGTAAAGGATACGTTTTTGGCGGAACTTCTGAGACAATAACTCAAACACAAACAGTATAATAAATATATAAAGTTTATTTCTTCGAACTTGAGACAAAGTGCCTTTGTTGCTTGGCTACTTCTCACATTGATTGTTGCTTTTGATTTTGTTCCAAACCCCAGTTAGGCTATCACCAGATATATCATTAAAAATAAGAATGATATACAATCAAAATTAAGAATCAAAAATTCAACTCAAGAATATATAGAAGCAAACTGGCCAAGTCAGCTATCATTTCCTTCAACACTTCCCCTACTTTTGGCCTTATCTTTACCTCTTATCCATATTAAGTCTGGCCAAAATCAAGATACTCAGCTCCCAACTTACTATATTTCCATCAGACAGTGTTGGGCTATTGTATGGTCACTGTCCTCATAACCCTGCATTTTCCAAGTCTAACATAAATCAAACCTTGGTCCAAAAAAGGGCCTATTAAATTATAAACTAATTTATGACGCAATCACACATTAAGATACATTGAACTTAAAAAACCAAACTCAAACACCTCTAAAGTAATCTGCACTTCTGTTTCCTCGGTGTTTCTCCTACACGGCATGGCTTTTGGTGTAGAGTATTAAAGGGGGCAATAAGACCAGCGTAAAAACAAATCAATTGCCGATTGCCTTAAAAAGCACGTAAGAGAAACAAAATGGTATTACCCATAATTCTGAAGGTAAGAAGCAAGGCACTTCTCACGTTAAAAGAGCACCTAATTAATGGTCTTGCTCTTCTGAAGAATCCTGGCAGTGAGAAAAGGGACAACTTATTTAGACGTGGTGAATTTTGTGATAGAAATTGGTTTAAAAAAGGATTGATTACAGAGAAGCATGAGAGTATTGTCCCTAGTCAATCAAAAAGGTATGTTCATATAGATTTGCATTAAGATGCCAAACCTTCTTTAGTTCAATAGTTCTAGCAAACATGAAAAGTGGAGCCAAGCATAACATAATTAAAAGACAACGGCACCAACAAAAGCCTATATAATTCTTATCATGTTCGGATCTCAATGTCAACACCTATGCAACTTTCCCGTTTGTAAACAGCTAGAGACTAATTTTGTAAAACCAATAATTCAATTATCAGTTTAGCATCTAAAAATAAAAAAACATAATGATAGCCCATCCTCTTTTTGTCTTAATTCTTTTGATTACCGACATCAAAAATAGCAAGAGATTGTTTTTAGAGTAAATTCTATAATTGGTCCTTTATAACATGAGGATTTCCATATTTAGTCCTCTATTATCAAATATTACCCTCGAAGTCCTTTTTTTAAAGGTGTCTTTCCACAAAATGGTCCTTTTTTTGATCTTCCGCCATGTGAGTATTAATTTAAAGGCTAAAAGTATATTTTGACATCAACATTATGTTTAGTGACATGTTCTGATATTGGTTAAGTGGATAACACAAAATAATGACTATGATTGTGGGCTAGGATTCCGACGGAAGACTACATTTGTAGACTATAATTGTAGTTGAAAGCGAATGTAATTCACAAACGACGCAAACGGAACAACTTTTGGAATTGTGTATGACAAAAAAGATATATTATCATTGTAAAATAACACTTTTAGTCCTCAAATTAACTCCAACATGATAGAAGATCAAAAAAGGACTATTTGTGGAAAGATACCCAGAAAAGGACCCCTAGGGTAATATTTGATAATAGAGGACTAAATAGGGAAACCCCTCAGTTATTAGACCAACCATTCAATTATCAGTTTAGTATCTGAAAAGAAAAAAACATAATGATAACTCATCCTCCTTTTTGGCTTACGTTTGATCACCAATGGCGCAGCACATAAGGCTAACACCAGCTTATTCCATCTTTTGTGTTTACGCAACCTTAGCTTTGCATCAGTGGTGGATATGTTTTGCAAGAAAAAGATGTTCTGAATTTGCCAGTCATCACTATCTGGTACTAAAACAAATAAAGTACTACAAATTGGTCAAAAATCTGCAAAAAAAGTTAAGGGAATATTAAAAAATGGAAAAATGCATGCAAGTTTTGAGAGGCATTCTTAGATTTAAGAATGTGAGCAGAAAACTTTAGGTATTACAGATATAATAAATTCAATATTCAAATTTATTACTTGGATTAATATCATTTTCCTTTGGATTTTACACAGTTAATTTCAATATTCTAATTGACAATTTCTAATAATAATATATCATTATATAAAATCATCATTCACTCCCTATCGTAGATACCCTAGTCAGAGGAAGCGGCTAGAAATATGCAGTGTTGGAAACTGAACGGCCGCAACGGTGCTGGGAGTTTGGGAAGGCTAGGCGGCAATGATGGAATTCTATATTTTTGGTTGGAATTGCTTGTTCCGCTAGGAAATATTGTGCGGCCATTTCTCTTCTTTTTTTGAGGAATCTGATGGTTTTCTCTTTTTTTCTCGCCATTTTCCCTCTTCATTTTTTTTTGAGGAATCAGATGAGTTTTCCATGTCATCCTCCAAATCAGCCAACACATGTCAAATTTTCCATGTCACTCTCCAAATCAGTTGCCACGTGTCAACACCACAGCCAAAAAACCCTATTATATATATATATATATATATATATATATATATATATATATATATATATATATATATATATATATATATATATATATATATAATTGGTAGTTTGGTTACATGATGGAAGGTCATTATTGCAAATCAAGATCTTTAACCCTTGGCGTCTTGTAACACATGAAATTGGCACATAAAGTTAACCATGACTGAATATCGATTTCTTGAGTAGCAATCCAACATGCGACAACGATTGTCCTTAACTTTTGTTAATTGTCATTGCGTATGAAGTCATGATTGGGAATTGTTTCCTTTGGAATCTAAAAGGAATTCTTGCATTTAACTATGTAAGCGTTAACCGTGGGATAACAACTTCTTGACCGACATTTTTTCCTGTCGCTACTGTGTCTTGAATAAGATGATTGCCAAGTCGAGTTACTACCAACCTCGTCCCATTGCGCACACTTGTTGATTGGTTAATATTCCTCAAGAACATGATAGGCGTTCCAACCTTTAACTTTAGTTCATGATTTGGGACACCAAAAGCTCGTATGTTGTTCAAAAATTTAATAAAATGCAAGTCTATCAAAAAATCTGCATTTGAATTAGACATACACACTACATCAGAGCTAAAGTAGTTTTTCGCTTCTCCCACATTGTTCATTGATGTCATGTAGTCATTAATTTCCTCCACAACATCTAGAGTGGATGCACAGATTGCTCTATTCTACAAATATGTGGGATCATTTGTGATATTGTGGAA